CAAACTGTTCTATTAGATGTTACCTTCACATGATATTTTATCTCCCACCTCCATGTCTTTGTACAATCTTGGAGTACTGTCCCTACTCATCTCTACCTCTCAGACTCCCCAACTTGCCTTAAAAACTCAGCTCAACTGTCATTTCTGACACAGGGTCTTTCCTAATTCCTTCTGGTTTCTCCAACCAATTATTTTATATTTGTATGTGTGTATATATTTTGTATACTTCTAGCAAAAAAAAAAATATCTTTTGAGGACAGGGATATTTCATTTTTGCTTTTGCTTCACTGGCAACTGAAAGTGTGTGTCTTGCACAAAAGAGTTTAATAAATGCTTACTAAACTGTTCAACTACATCGGTTTGCAGATCTGGGGCTTTCCTCTAAGAAGCATGGAATGAAAGCTTATGGTAGGCTATGGTCGGGCCAAGAGACTTATAAGTGAAAGAGTAGACTGAGAAGCAGATAGGATTTCAAGGGGAAAAGTCCTTAAGTTTCAGAGTAGATAGAATTATAAGTCACATGGGAACTAGGGAATGCTAAGGACAGTAGCCACTGTTACTGAGGCAGCAAGAGTATGAAGGTTCTTTGTCTCATACATAACCAAAGGCTCTTTGCACCAGTGACACAGTTTCTGGCATCCCCAGGGCCCCATAAAAAGCCCTATCCTGTCTTCTCAGACATGACAGATTCTATGTTCCATGCTGGCTATGTTTGCCACCATAAAAGTATTATATCCACAGAGAAAAAAGGAAAAAAAGTGTGTCTCAGTTCAACCACTAAACTTGCCCATGTTTGACAACCACATTTCTATAAGTGAAAAAATCTGTTCTTTTATAACCCATTTCCTTGTGTTGAATCCATCATTTTCATCATCTTGATACTTAAAATCAGGATAGTTGCCATCAGGAAGAAAAAAAGGTGGGAGAAAGCTTTAAACCAAATTTGCTGTTCCTGGGTTCTTGACTACTCAACTCCCTCCTGTTGCTGGCTCCTACAGACCCATTGCTACTGTCTATCCCCCAATTTGGTAGTACTTTTCCCTTGCTGAAAGACCTCCTCTACTCCCTATATAATTTTACATAGATAGATTAGACATTTCACATATAATTTACAGAACTCAGGTTGGTAATCAAAGCCCTCTACAACCTGGCCCTGCTATACTAGTTGTACTTTACACTCTGTTCAGTCTGGTCTCTCTTCTTTATCTGTGGCCATACTCACTCTGAACCCTTTGTTCACGCTGTTTACTCTGCCTGGCATGCCATCCCTCTTTCTCTCCGCCCATTCAAATTCCAAACATTTTTCAGGGTCCAGATCATGTCACACTCACAAAAAAAGCCGATCATGCCACCACATGCTGATGTTCCCTGTCTGAACCATCTTGCATTATAATTGGCACATGCTTGATCCCCTGACTAGGCTGAAAATGTGATTGAATTTGAGGCTATCTTATTCTTTTTCCTGCTCCCTACAATACTGACCATAGAGGGTGCTATACACAGTAGGCCGTCAATCAATATTTGCTAACTTGAACTTCAAAATCATTTATTGCCTATATATTTTGGAATTTAACCATATAATATTTTTCTACCCAATTTATTTAGAATTTCATTCCTAAATGTTCCATTTTAAAATATTTCATAGTTTTATCTTCCTATTTAGATTCTAAATTCTTAATTTGTGAGGGAAGGAAAAGAAGTGGAGGAAGAAAATAAATAATCAGGGGTGAGTGAAGGAGAGGGGAGAGAAAGAAAATAGAAAGAAGGGAGTTAAAGAAAGGTATCCTGACTCTACAGTAAGCAAGCAACGAAGGGTTTATTTACCAAGTGCCTACCATGTATCCAACACTGGAGATAAATAGGCCCTTCCTTCTGGGTCTTTAGAATCTAGGTGGAGAGACAAGACATACATATGAAACAAAAATAAAAAATACATAGTATTTGGTCAAATGTAGAATATACTCATTCTTGAATCCAGATTTTCATTACATAACTTGGGTTCTTTCTGCTATACCACATTGCCTCTTTAATAATAATTTGTGTATATACATACATATATACACACACACACACATATGTACATACATGTATGTGAATTTATGTGTGTATATAGATAGATATAGATATATAGATGTGTATATATATATATTTACAAAGTTCTTTCCTCAAAATAACCCTAAAAGATGGGTTACAAATATCTTTATCCTATTTTAGATTCAAAAAAAAAACAGAGGTTGTGCAAAGTCACACAGTTTGTAAGTGGCAAAGCAGACTTGAACTCAGATCTTTGGATGCTAAATCCAGGGATTTTTCTACTATACTAGATTGCTACACATAGAGGAACAAACATGATATGTAAAAAGAATGGAAACTAAATGAAGAGAAAGCAATTGAGGAATTAGAAGGAAATATACTTTAGCCTTGAGACAGCTGGCATTATAGCTTTCGGATCAGGGCAGTGACAAGATGAAGATTTAATCATTTATATGCTTGCTGCAGTGTCATTGGTGAAAGGTATCATAAAAGTGATTGTTGAAGTTAGGGTTTAGAGGTTAGGGTTAGTTTTAGGGTTACGACCTGATAAGAGATTGCTAATATTATTGGGACACAGAGACAAAGTTTCCTATGTCCTGTTGTCAGAATGATAGACTTATAAAGACAAAAAGGAAAAATGAGTAAATTCAAAAGAAGACCATAACACAATTAATAAGTATACATTAAAGCAGGGATTCTCAACCTTTTTAGTATCACAGATCACTCTGGCAGTTTGGCTAAGCCTATCAACTCCTTCTTGGGTAAATATTTTTAAGTGCATAAAATACAATACATGGGATTAGAAAGGAAACCAATTATGCTGAAATAAAGATATATTTTTTTTCCATTCAAGTTCAAAGACCAACTGAGATTAACCCATAGACCTCATCTGTGAACCCCATGTGAAGAACTCCTGCTTTAAAGGAAAACAAACCCAAAACCCCCAGTAAAATATTCCCAGAGATCATGGAATAGCCGCAAGGAGCCTCCAAAACTGTTCGACACACAAATAAAACTTGTAAAAAGAAATTAGGATAGAGATTAGGTTAGAAATGAGAGGTTCGAATAACAGATTCCTAAAAAAGATCATGATGTACCCCCAAATTAAAATAGCCTGTAAACATTGGCCTAATCATCAATAGATACACTTGGAAATTCAACAAAAAAGAGGATTTCAGTTATTCCTGCAAAAGAAACAAGAGAAGAACATTCCACCTGCAAACAATCCAAACAAAACTAAAACAGAAGCAAAGTAACTAAGCACAATTATCGGGGAAAAAACTGAGCTATGAAATTAATTCTCTCTTGTTTCTAGACTGTCTTTAAAAAATATAACAGAGAGGGATCAGCAAGGGACAAAAGTTTCTAAAGGGCTACATATTAAAAGGAAATAAGGAGCCAGGCATAGTGGCAAAGATGGCCTCAGAATCAGGAAAGCCTAGCTTCAAGCCCTGTCTCTAACACATGTCAGCTGTGTGTCCCTGAGCAAGTCTCTTAACCTCTCAGGAGATTAACCATAAATTAGATTAACTTCTCAAAGATGACCTTGAAAAAGCCAATCTACACTGGTAGAAAACGTTGCTCACCTGAAGCTCACTACCCTGATGAAATCACATGTTCAACAAAAAGAAAAACAAAGGGTGGGGGGAAGGAGTCCAAAGAAGGTAAGAAGGAAGGACTGGATTAACATTCTGTGAACTGAATCTCATGCTCCTCTATAAGTGAATCAATATCTTCTGCAGGAATAAAAATACAACAGGAAGTTGTTGTTCAGTCTGTGTTGTTCAATGACTGACTTCGTGTTCCCATGGATTATATCGTCCGTGGGGTTTTCTTGGCAAAGATACTGAAATGGTTTGCCATTTCCTTCTGAAGTGGATTAAGGCAAACAGAGGTTAAGTTACTTGTCCAGAGTCATAAAGCTAGTAAAGGTCTGAGGCCAGATTTGAACTCAGGTCTTCCTGACTCCACTTCCTGACTGCTTTGTCTACTGAGCCATCTACCTGCCTCCAACAGTGGCAAGTAGCTCCAGTGAAAAGAGGGAAAGCAAAAGACACAAGAGCTGGAGAAGGGAGCAGAGAAAGAACAGTAATTTCTGCAGCCTGATAACAAGATTTAGGGGCCATGGAAGAGCAGAAAAAATAACAGAGAAGGAGAAGGACTGCATTAGAGTCCGGGACAAGAAAGCTAATCTAGACAAAGTGATAGAATACTGCTCAAGTACATCCATGGATGGGGGTGAGAAAGAAAGAAAGAAATCTTTTAATGGGTCTTTACTGGGCACCCCAAGAAATCACCTTCTCTAAACAAGAGAAGTGAGGCCCTCGGCTATGGCCAGAGGTCAAGGTGGGGAGGGAAGGAGAGACTTAACTCCTGCAGAAGGACATACTGACCTTGAGAGAGAGTGTCCATAAGCAAGAGATAAGATCAGTCTTCTTGACTGTGTGACTCCCACTACACCTGATTGCCTCCTTCAAGAGCTGATATTTTTAGGAGGGACTACATCAGAAAGCCTCATAAACTACATAAAAATTCAAAACATGAAAAAAAAATCCACTTAATGGTGGGATATCTAAGTGGAACTATGCTGTAGCAGAAGAAAATATAGGAATAACAAAGTAAAACACCCTGGCTAGATAAATGTGGGAGATTAGATTCAAATTAAGGAAGAATTTAATAATTGCTGCAGCTGACCAAAAATATAACATGCTGTGTCAGAAGCAGAGGGCTCTTTGTCAGGGATATTGCAGAGGACACTGATTCATTGGGTATTAAGTAGGACCAGATAACCTCAAAGATCATTTTCAACTCCAAGAATCTGTGAAATGATTAGGTGAAGTTCAGGTATCTAAGGGAGTTCAAGACAAATGGCTTCAGGTAAGGAGACTTACCTAATCACTTCTTCCAAAATTCCACCCTTTTAGGACTATTACAGTGATTTCTTCCTTCTGGGTTCTCACACTCACCTAGGCGGTGGCTTTTTGGAATTTCTTTCTTGGTCCAGGGGTCTTTTCCGTGCTTCAGCTGAGAAATCACATCTGGCTTGGAAACGGGATGTCCTGTTTATAAGGTAAAAAGAAAAGATTTGAGTATTGGTGACAGAAGATAAAGAATCAGAGCAGAAATCAGTGCCATCCTATTGTTCTTGTCTATACACAGGAACATTCTACAACCCCACACTTCAGCTGCACTCTTTTGAACAAACACCTTTATATTCTACAATATTTCCTCTATGACATCATATATTTTCTCATATTTTGTGAAACCCATATTTTCTCTGACAATTTAGTATCCTTTGCAACTTTCTCCAATGGAGGCTACTCTTTCAACTCTCCATAATTCATAGCAGTGGCAGCTATGCTTTGGAGTAGACAGAGTGCTAGACTGAGAGTCAAGAAAGACCTGAGGGGCAGCTAGGTGGTGCAGTGGATAGAGCACTGGCCCTGGAGTCAGGAGGACCTGAGTTCAAATCTGGCCTCAGACACTTAACACTTACTAGCTGTGTGACCCTGGGCAAGTCACTTAACCCCCTGCCTAGCCAAAAAAAAAAAAATAGAAAAAAAAAAGACCTAAATATATATTTGGTGGTTAACTTCCAGGCACTTTAGGGGCAGTTAGGTGGCGCAGTGAATAGAGCTTTGGCCTTGGTGTCAGGAGGACCTGAGTTCAGACACATAACATTACTAGTTGTGTGACATTGGTCAAGTCACTTAACCCCAATTGCCTCACCCCCCAAAAAATTTTTTTTTTTAAAAAAGAAAGAAGTGAATTCAAATCTTGCTTCAGAAAGTGCATGATCCTGGGCATATCACTTAACCTCTCTATGCCTTAGTTTCCTCTTTTGTAAAATGTGGATAATAGTAACACCAAACTCCAAGGGTGGCTGTAAAGATCAAATGAGATAATATATTGTAAAGCACTTTGTAAACCTTAAAGTGCTTATGCATGCTAGCTATTGTGGTTATTACAGTACCAGAATTTGACATACTTCATTGTAACATATTTAAGAGTGACCATCTAGTCTAATTCATACCTAAAAGGAATCTCCAGTATAACATACCTGACAAGTGTTGATGCAGATTCTATAGACCTTCAGTTTTGGGGTGGGATGCCCAGCACCTCCCTAGACAGCCCACTTTCAAACAACTCTAATTATTAGAAATGTATTAATAATAACAATAATAATAATTAATATTTACATAGCAATTTAAGGTTTACAAAGCACTTTACACATTATCTCAGTTCATCTTCACAACAAACTTGTGAAGTAGGTTCTGGTATCATCTCTGTGTTAGATGAGGAAACTGTGGTAGCTAATGGCTTCCTTCAAGACTCAGGTCAAATCTCCCTTTCTGCAAGAGGCTTTCCCATCTACTCCTTCTAATGCCTTACCTCTAAGATGACCTCCCATTTACACTGTATACATCTTGTACAGCCATAGTTGTTTGCATATTGCCGCCAGTTAGAACGTAAGCTCCAATAAGGGCAGGTACCATGGCTCCGCCTTTCTTGGATCCCCTTAGTATAGCACAGAGCCTGGCATACAATAAGTGATTAACAAATGCTTATTGATGATAATGATGAAGTTATCTGCCTAGGGCCACACAGCTAGTTGTATCTGAGGCAGGATTAAAACTTGGATCTTCCCGACTCCAAGTCCATCACACTCTCCATGGCACATGCAACTGCCTTAACAGAAAAAGTCTAATTTCTTTTCCACATAACAGCCCTTCAAATGCTTGAACATAGCTACCATGTCTCCCCTGAATTTTCTTTTTCTTGGCTAAACATCCACAGTTCCTTCATCCAATTCTGATATAACATGGACTCAAGGACCTTTGATATATATCCTGGTTGCTCTCCTATGGATATTCTCCAGATTTATGATGTCTTTCTTTAATACTAGTGCCCAGTACTAAATACAGTACTCTATGTTTGGTCTGATTATTACATAGTAGAGAGGGACTTTCATCTCCCTCCCTAATTCCTGGAGGCTATGCCTCTCGATATAGTTCAAGACTAAATTACTTTTGTTGACTATCACAATACATTGATAACGTATATTGAGCTTGCAGCACACCAAAACCCGCATTTCTTTTTTCAAATAAACTTCTATCTAAACATGCCTTCCCCATGCTACATTTGTAAACTTGATTTTAATCCTAAGTATCACTTCATCTTTATTTCTACATGTTATTAGATTCAACCCAATGCAGGTCAAGATTTTTTTGTATCTTGACTCTTTCATCTACTATGGTACCTATCCCAGCTCCAGGATCTTCTGTAACCCAATGATTATGCCATCTATATATTTATCCAAGCCATAATAAAAACTTTAAAAAGAAATCGACCAAACATATATCCCTGGACACTCCACTGGAGGCTGCCAAACAAGTTAACACTGAGTTAACAATTAACAAATTCTCTTTGAATTTAGCTATACAACCTGAATTTATCTAATTGTATTGTCTAGTCCACATTTCTTGTTCCTTTCCGGAAGAATAAAATGACATAATTTATCAAATTCTTTGCTAAAATCCAGAAAAACTGTATCTACAATGTTTTGCTTATCTACCAGTTTAGTAGCACTGTTAAAAAGCAAATCATGTTAGTATGACATGACCTATTTTCAATGAAGCCGTGCTTCATTTGCAACCTTGTACTCATTGCATCCTTTTCTTTATTTTCACTAATCATCTCTTTAATGGTCCATTCTAGAATTTTCCCAGGAATAAAAGTAAAATTCAAAGGCCTACAGTCTGCTAAAGAAAATTCTCATTTTACACCCTATCTCCCAAGCCATCTGTGTTCCAGGATAGGTATTCCCAAGTACTTTAAGTAATTCTTGTATGGAATAGTTTTCAATTCTCTCACTATCCTGATCACTCTCCTCTGAATATGTTCTTTTATCAATATCCTTCCTAAAATGCAGAGCTTACAACTAAACAATATTTCAGCTATGATCTGACCAAATAAAAATATGATGATACTATGGCTTCCTTTATCCTAAAAACTATGCCTGCAGGTTGCAGAGGAGTGGACAGGAGAGAAGATAAAAAAGGAAGGAAGGAAGTTATCAAAATATTTTTTAAAATCACATTCCTGGACACCTGGTTGAGAAAACTTACTCTTGCCTAACATTACTCCATGAATCATGCAGGGAAATAACCCTTACCCATTGAAGCCAGGTTCCTGTAGTTCTCCAGCATCACATCTCTATACAGACCTTTCTGAGCAGAATCAAAATGCCCCCATTCATCTTCGGTGAAGCTCACAGATGAATCCTTGAACATCAGTGATTCCTGAAATACCAAGTTTTTTTTAACTTTACTTACTTATTTTACAAGCATTTATGACCTTTCCCTTTTACAATCAAAAAGACAGAAGAAAGGAAGGAAGGAAGGAAGGAAGGAAGGAAGGAAGGAAGGAAGGAAGGAAGGAAGGAAGGAAGGAAGGAAGGAAGGAAGGAAGGAAGGAAGGAAGGAATCAAAAGCAAATTTTTTTTTACACTAGCCATGTCTAAGAATATGTGTTTATTCTGCATTTTAAACCCCTTCCCTTCCTGACAGGAGGCAGGTGTCATGTTTTATCTTTCGACTGCTCAACTCAGACTCATGATTATCATTGAATTAATCAAGGTTCTAAGGTCTTTTGAAGTTTTCTCTATGATGTCACATTATATATATAAATTATTCTCCTGATTCTGTTCACCTTATTCTGCAGTAGCTCACAGAGTTCTTCCAAGTTAACTCTGAAACTAGTTATGACAAAATAATATTCTATAACACTTGTATGCTATAATTTGTTTAGCTATTCCCCAACAGATGAGTACTCCCCTTAGCTCCCAATTTTTTACTACTCTGTGAAGATTATAGTTCTGTATATATGAGTCCTTCAAAAACATTTTTACTCAAGACTAGAACAACCATCCTGGAGCCCTGAAATGGCCTTGGAGAGAGATGGCAACATTCGGTCAGACAACAAACAGTTATAAAAGACTTACTATGTGCCAGGCACTGTACTAAGAACTGGGGATACAAATGTGAAAAAAGAAAAACAGTCTTTGCCCTAAGGAGCTTTTACATCATAGTCATTTCAGGAGATCCAGCATCTACTGCTTCCCTAACCCTCCCCACCACCAACTAAAACTTACTTCCCTTTTAACAAAAAAAATGCAATTAAGCGAAACCATCACATTTGAAAATGTAAACAGAATGGTTCCCTAATAATCCCTCCCTCAAACCTGTATTAAGTGAAGAGGGGGAAGCATGTTTTATTATCTGTTCACTAGGACCATTTCTGGTGTTTTCTTTACTCAGAGTTTGAAAGACGAGCCAGAATCTAATAGGAGTAAAAGTAAATTGGCAGGATTATAGGAACCAGTATGCTTGATGTTTCAAGTCAAATAAAACCTTTATTTTGTTCCATACCTGACAATAATTTAGCCTAACTCAGGCTGTATTGTGAAACAACATAATATGTAAATTCTCCATCAAAGATTGCTCTGCCCTCTGCAGCCACAGCACAGTGGCTTCTAGCAGCTCAGGGACTGGGAATGTCAGGTGAGGAGCCAAAGCCAGGAGGAAGGCAGGAAGTGGGGCAATAAATAGGGTTAAGGGAGTAGTCAATTTATTTGGTCTTTATGTTTTAAATAGTAACAACATTTAGAAGAAAATAATATAAAAATCCTCATAGTAGGATATTTTGCAGTAACAAAGAACTGGAAACAGTAGGTATATGACTGGGGAATGGTTTAAAAAATAAATATGGCATATGAATATAATATTACTGTATAGATATGATAAATATGAAAAATTCAGAGAACCATAGGAAGATTTGTATGAACTAATGCAAAGCAAAATAGGCAAAACCAAAGTAACAACATATCCGATGATTACAAAAATGTAAAGGAAAAGATCACGAAAAGGAAACCAAATTGTGAGTAACTGAAATACCAGCAATGATTCTGGAGAACAGATAATGAAACATGCCTCCCTCTCCTCACTACACACAGTTCTGAATAATACTAGGAACCATGTTGTTTACATTTTCAGATGTACTAGTTTTGCTTAACTGCTTTTCATTGTTACAAAAGAAGTTTTAGCGGAGGATAAAGGAGGGGGTAGGTGCAGGATTTCCAGAAATGACTGTGATGTAAAAACAAAAGACACCAATAAAACATTTTTTTAAAAAAGGAAGCAAGTACCTTTAGTGGGAAAAGATTTTTGAATTGGTAAATATATGCCAATACTGATAATTAAAAAAGCTGTTCTAGACTATGTGGGACTTATCAAGTAGGACATATCAAAGAAGTATAAGACATGACCTATATCCTTGTAAAGAATGCAATTTTGTTCAGTTGGAAAACACAGCCATGACAAAATTTAGAAAATAATATAAGGCAGAATATTTTCAAGTCCTAAATTATATGGTAAGTACATAGAATCAAGTTGTTTCTCCTTCATTTTCTTTGAAGAGGACCAATGACATCACAGAGTGATGTCTTGACTTGCTTGTCAACCACATTTAAGTGAGGCGGAGTTGCACAAAGTCTTCAGCCTCACTCTCTCTTCCAGAGTCACTGAAGTTCAGTGGCAAGACGAAGGTCAAGATGATCAGCTATGGCCTGGTATGCAGTGGATGCACAAGCTCTAAGCACCCCACAATGCCTGCTTCAGCTTCCTTCATGGCCATTGGAACAAATTGTTCTCATCTACCCATTCCACCAGGGGAAAGTCTTCATGTGTTTGGGGGAGACATTCCCCGGTTCATCAATGGATGAGGCCCGTTAGTTACCCTAACCTAGTTTAGCCTGTCTGCCAAGACAGGTTTCCCAGTAAGTGGCTGCTTCACATGCTACCATTTCTAAAGCCACATATGAGAGCTGGGTAACGATGGACATCAAAGGTGGATGCACATCTCTGAAAAGAGCTTAGCAAGCTCTCATACCAGAGGCGCTAGTCCTCCCTGAACATCCCATAGTATGGAGTATTTCACAGATGAAGAGATTGGGTAGGGTAGGGAAGGAAGACAAGCCAGAAGAATTACAGAACCTGAGAGTAAGAATGTCCTCTAAATTATTACAGATGTGTAGTTATCTTGGTCACTGTTTTAGTATTTCTGAGACTAGTTATATACTACTTCAAAAGGGAAGACACTTCATTTAAAAAGTTTTAATTGTTAAACATTCTTTCTTAAAGTAAGCTGAAATTATTTCCCTCATACCTTTCACCAATTGAACACTAATCTATAAAAACATGTGGCCATATGGTATGAAATTGGTAAAATTTTGTCCAAGATTAAAAATATTAAAAAGAACAGCTACAGTACCAATAATGCAATTGTTTTGATGAAAAGAGTAATACTCATATCTGTATAGTGCTTAATGGTTGACAAAACACTTTCCTCATAATAATCCTGAGTGAGTTATATTGGATGTGCTAAGACAAAGGTCCACGTTATATCTCTCTACATTCTACATTGAGTTCTTCACTTTAAATAAATAAATTATTTCTCAATAGTAATACAGATAACCTAGATATGTAGAAATGAAATAAAACAGAGAACATAGTTCAAATAAATAAAGGCCTTTGACTGACAGAGATACAACAATGTTTTTGCTCTGTTTTTAAACAAAGCCAGGCAGGTAAAGAGAAGTGAAAAAAATGTAAACAAGGTGAGAAAGACTGACAAAAGCAGGAAGAAAAAACAAGAAAAGAACAATCCTATCCGTGGTCATGAGAAAGCAAGAAATCTAACTTATGATTCTAAGAATACACATGTTGCCATTTTTCCAAAGGTAAATAAGTGGCCTCTGAGTGTCTTCACTTAGGTGTGTGGGGGTCTAGTGTAGACATCTAATAGAATGGACTGCTACACATTGTATCCCAGGATTGAATCTATGTACCTCTTTTTATTTTGGAAGAGGTAGTGTCAATCCAATGCTCAACAGAAGCCCAAAGTACATTCAAGATGCTCAAAAACTGCAAAGACTGGGCAAGGGAGATGGACAAGGAAAAGCAGAGCCCCATACCCCTCTGTTCTCTAAGTATATGGTAACCTACTTCCAAACAAAAAAAGATTTCCTGGAGAGCATTCATTTGACTGCTGACATTGGCCAAGCAGAAATTTGTCTAATTGTAATTTCTCTCTGGCCTCTGAAGTGTTACAAAATAAGTCTAACTCGTCTTCTAAAGAACTTCAAATATTTGATGCCATGAATTACTAAGTAGTCTAGTAAGGATGGGATTGATTGAATTATTCAGCTGTTAGCTCAACCTACTGAGAAATTAAATGATAAAATATAGTACCTTAAGTGAAAACAATCAATCAATTATAAGCACTAGACTATGTGGGAAAAGTCCTTTGAACTGGAATGTCTTAACAGAAGGAGGATTCAGATCGATTAAAGAAACTTTGTCACGCCCTAGTGGTTCTATTAAATTTTCAATTGATTTGAGAATGTAGTCATTAGAGAAGCTGGAGCAAGAGTAGTGCTGTAATAAAACTCTGAAGTGAGTTTTACTATATCTGAATGGAAGAAGAAGCCTAGGCTTCAGCTTTGTCCTGTGTCTCCTCCTCATTTCTTGACCCACCTCTGACCAGGTGAAGAACTTCAGAGGGTATGAAGGATATTGGACTTCTCATTTTCCCATTGGCATCCTAGCAGCCTCCCTAGATGAGCTGCCAGCAATGTCTACATTGAGATCTGAGGACAAATTGGACAGCATTTCTTGGCCCCACAATGAACTGAGTAAAGAAATTATACACAATGACTAAAGAGAAACTCTTGAGCATCCCACACATGGGAGAAAAGGACTTCAAGAAAGTAGGGGCTATGAGCTACCCCTTTGCTATCTATGTAATCTAAGCTTGATCTAATTTTCCCCTGAACTTTGTATGTACTTGTGGGACCATCACAGATGTTTTATACCAACTGTTCTTATTGTATCAACTTGGTAAATACTCCTAGAAATTATTCTCAACTGATAATCTTGAGCAGGGAAGCATGTAGGTATGGGCTTGAGCCAAGGTCTCTCCACGGGTACCCCTAGAGCCCTGAAGGGATGTAGCCTTGCTCTGAGACCCAATACTTGTCTGTAAGACCAGGAATTATGATAAGGATCCTCAAAATTTATATTGGCTACATTTTTTACCAGACAAAGATTCCCAGTTCTCTCAACCATTCCCTCTATGCAATTTTATATACCCTCATATTCCAGTTTCTCAACATCCCTCTTAAAATGGGAAGCCCAGAACTGAACACAAAACTTCAAGTATGTTATAAACAATGTAGTGACAG